TTTTCCAATGATTAATCAATTCATGAAGTCATTAAGTTTTCAAGCCTTACGTGAATGCTTATGCTAACCAAGTATATTCTTATCTCAATTAGAAATTTGGACTGTTACCTCCAAGTCATAAGTTGAAGCTGAAATCTATCCAAATGAAGTTTATCTTTCCAGATCTCCCCTAGTTCTAGCATGCATTCAATTAGTGATCCAGTAACCGAATGTAGAAAAATTTCCAACTTCAAAACATGTATTCAACAAGTGCATTACAAACTCAAATTACGTAGGTTCCAGAGAATGAAATCTGACTAACTACACATACAAACTACAGAAAATATAAGAAAGGAAAGAAAAAAATCAAGAATAAGCAAATCTGAATGCTGGACAATAGGTCACTCGCCTGAGTGAGGCCTGTTATCCCTCCTTGCTGCTACTGGGCTTCTTCTTCTTGGAGTTCCTTCCTCTCTTCTTCGGGTCTGTGTAGTGTTGGTGTATTGTATGTGTGTTTTTTGTTCTCCGATATGTGTTCTTTGTGCAGGGAATGCAGCTCCTTTTATAGAGCTTGTTGCCGGTTCTTCTTCCACGAGCGTCTCACCATGCTTGTGTATTTTTTATTAGCCCCAATGCCTTGTGTCTTGAATCCGGTTTTGACTGGCTTTTTCCCCTTCTTCCAGCAGTGGTATCAGCAGCAACATTGATCAATGTGGGTGGTTGGTTCTTCAGCCAAGGGGACAAGCATGCTCTTGGGTTTCTATGGTGGGACACCCTTATTTACTCCCAATGTGCTTTGTGTCTTGAAGTTACTTTTGACCAGTTCAGCAAATTTGAATCCAGCAGCCCAATTTTTGTTCCATAAGCCCCCTTTTTCAGCTAATGTTCACTCATGTCCTTGCCTAATTAAAAACACAAAACTAGTTAAGTAAAATGAACTAATTCTGAGAAACACCCCTAATTTCTTACTAATTAAAGATTAAATTGCCATGCTTTTATGTAACAAATTAACCGTTATCAGGTCATTAGATTGTTTTACCAATAACTGCTGGTGTATTTCAGCCTTTTGCTATTTCTCCTCCTCTTGATCATTCTTCTTCTATTCCAGCACACTGCCTCACTTGGTTACTCTTCTCCATTCATAGATTTCCTTCCCTTTAGGCTGATCAACTCTTCCAATCTTCATTCCTTCATCTGGTTTCACCTTTTTCCTACAATCTTCTTCCCCATGCCCAAAATAGTCACAGCTTTTGCATTGTGTAGGTTGCCATTCGTAATACACCCCTTGCTCCACTAAGTTCCCATTCTCATCAACAAAATGAGCTGTCAAGGGAGGTTTCTCTGATCTCAACATCAATTACAACTCTTGCATATGCATCTCTTTCACGAGTAGCTGTTAGAGCATCAGTAGTTATAGGCCTTCCCAGAGTGTTTGCAATACGACTGAGTGTAGCTTGATTCTAAAACTTGAGCTCTAAACCAGGAAAGTTGGACCAGTACATGTTTCACCTCCTCATAGTTTGAACCCCTTTCAACTTTCCATGGTTTAATAATCACTGGGTTAGTGCCTAAATAATGAACCGGATATGCCAAAGCGTCATCGTTATCCTCACTAGTTTTGAAACGAATCACATACAATCCAGTAGGCAAAAGTACAATTCTATCGTTATCCAAGTGTTTCTATTAATGTCTGTAATATGAATCCATTACCTTGAAGGGTAGATTAGCTCCAAGTACAAAGCTAATAATTGATAGTTGCCAATACTCTAGTTCACTTTGGACATCCCGTTTCTGCACCATTTCTACTTGAATTCCATTCTTCTCCTATCGTTCTATGTAGTTCAGTGGTACACCACCCTTTTTGAATTCCTTCACATCTAAAGAATCCCAACTGGAGACCTTCTCTATTCTTGCGGAAGCAAACTAGTCCAATTTCCTTGACTGATTGATTGCCCAGGATCTCGCTAAGTGTTTCCTCTTGTACCCTTAAAGTCTCCTCCTCACACGCCCCATCAATTGCTTTCCCCATGGTTGAATCACCAACCTTTTCACAAACCCTAGATGAACTTTCTCCAATTTGCTTATCTCTCATTTCCGACTGATTTTTCACCAAATCAATCGGTGTATTACTTCTACTCTCATTTCCCTTTTCCATCTGCATATCTTTTACCACTCCCTTACTCCTCGCTCTTCGTTTCGCCATAGCGGGCGCAAGTAAGCCTGCGGTTCTAAACATGTGCTGAGAGAAAAGACGAAGAGATATAACGATTAAAAGAATATTATTGTGTACTTATTAATATTTTAACAACAAATGTTTTTTAAAAAAATTGTATTAAAGTAGATAAGAATTTACAGTTTCTTGGAGAAGATTTTAATTAAATTTTGATATAAATAATTTGATGAGAATAGAAATTTGCAATAAATTTTCCAGTCCATGGGATATATATATTTTCTTTTGTGAGGTACAAAATATTGTTTTTGAAAAAAAATTGAAAGAAAACAATGTTAAAATTAGTTTCTACAAGTACAGTTCTAATGGGTTAAAATATAAATTTATTCATAAAATAATTTTGATATTTAAAATTTTTCAACAAAATCCAAAAGCTAATTTTTCTTTAGAAAAAACATGAATAAAATATCAGCAAATCACCATAAAAAAAAAGAAGTAATTCTTTCCAATTATTTTTGCACAGAAAAAAGGCCAATTGAACAAGTAAATATTACTTAGTGTTGTAAGAGAAACTTTTATCACAAACATTGAAAAGGAAGAATAAAATAAGGAAGAAATAATAAGGTAACTCTATGGGTTTAAAGTTAAAGAAGGGTAACATGGGTATATGTATAAAGTTTGCTCTCTATCTAACAAAAGTGCTCTCAATTTATCAGTTGCCATTCAAAAAAACATTGGCTTTTATCCATATTTAGAAACGTAGGGATAAGATCAATGATAAAAAATAGAGATGATTTATTTAAATTTATTTTTTGCCTATTGCCGCCCTCGACTGTAAACCCTACTTCACATCCCTTCAACACACTATAAATAATACCACATATGGTACCAATTGACTACAATTTCGAACATCGAATACTAGATCATTATACCGTGCTAATCTATAAGATTTTGATATTGACATATTTATTTGTTATTTTTAATGGTTTTCCCTTTTTTCTATGGAAGATATGTAAATCATTCAAGATGCGATCCGGTGCAGTACGTTTACTCTTTGTTGTTTTTTCTTTGCATATTTGTAGATACTCCTCCAACCCTAACATTGTTTTTTCTTTTTTCTATGGAAGATATGTAATTTTTAATCTATTCATCACGTAAAAATTTTATATGAAATATTAAAAATTTATTTTGATAAAGTTTCTAGTTTTTATGTGATACATAATTTTCTGTTAATTAATAATGCAAAAAGATCAATAATCAAATTATTAAAAGTTTTTATGTAAAAATTTATTAGATTAAGATGAAAATGAATAAAATATAAATGATGTAGCAATGATAAGGAAAAAAACGATTAAAAAAGGAGTTATGAAGAAAGAAAAAAAAGTGAACAAATGTTAAAATTCTAAAAAATGGGAATCACAATACCTCTTCCAAGGTAATGAATTATAATCCAGTAACCTTGTGTTTATTTTCTTTGATTTCAAGATTCTTTTTCTTTCCCCAAAATGAAACAAAGGAATTTAAAAGTTAAGAAAATGATTACTTTCCTGAACAAAATAATTTTAAAACAAGGAAGCTAATTACTTTTCAGCCCAGAAACCCTAACAGCCAAACAGGTTAGTGTATTTTGACATTTACTATGCCCTTGTCAGGAATTTAGAAAATTTCATACCTTCATATAAAATTATGAAAGTGGCAACACCTTTAATAAGAATTCTCCCATTTCAAGAGTGTATTTTTTGGCATTATTTTTATTCAGCAAAATGCATTATTTTTTAATTTAGGGTTGATAGAATAAATACTATTGAAGCTACAAATTTGATGGACGGCCAAAATTTATGAATAAGTACTATTAGTTGTTTGTGTATGTTTACTGATTAGAGGAAGGCTACATCCTGGACGTTTTCTTTTCATGGGGTAGAAAAGAGAGGGAAATGTTCCACTTTGTGGTTTTTATTTAGACAATAGAAAATATATATTGTAGAAATATATATTGCAAAAGGGCCACCAAGATTATATTGATTATTTAAAACATCCTTCATTTTTCACAAAATATTGAAAATATTTCTTGATTGGCAAGTTATTCAAAACTATCTATAGATTAAAACAAAGAGAGAAAATAAACCCCAATTTTTCACTGTAGATTTTCCCTGCATATAACTCTATTCTTTTTTATATTAACCATTGGAAGTATACTTTTTGATATTGTTGATGGGTCATATTTTCGAAACGAATATCAAGTTTCCTTAAACATTAGTGGGGGTAGTTACTGGTCAGAAAATAAGAAAAGCTGGTATTAGTTTGGGTTCATCCAAAAGTTCAAAAAAATTGGTATTAGTTGGGGTTCTGGCATATGTGATGAGACGTAATCTAAACACCTTTTTCCTCCGACTGATTGTTCGTTTAATTTATTCTGCGAAAATATTACTATTTCTACTCCAAAAAATATTCAACGTTAAATTTTTCACATTTTGTATTTATTTCCTGTACTAATTTCGAATGTGAGCTGTATTTTTTTTTTTTTGAGGCAGAGGAAATATAATGAAAATGGGAACACACTTTTTAAAATTTTGCAAATTTATTTTCCATAGCATTAACAAATTATATTATTCCCTCCAAACACCCCCAAAACCTAAATCATAAGTAAGCAAATGTCCAAAACCAGGAGGGGCGCAAGCAATGTGACATTCGGTAAAAACGTGTACTCTAAAGTAAAGTCAGCTAATAGAGACAACAAAAGTTGGTCCAAATAGAACGTATGGTACTATATGATAAAGAAAGTTACCTGATTAGTTTATTATTAAAGTTTAATAGAGAAGTGTAGTAGGAACAGAACGATGTTGCTGATTCCTTCACGTTGAGGTAGGTTGGAATCATTATTGCTGATAAAGAGAATAGTGAGTTAAGAAAGATCAAAACTAGATGACTTCAAAACAAGGCATCCTAAGCTCAATATTTGCAAGACTTTTTCTGGAGAGACTGTGAGGAACTAAATAATGTCCATGTTTGGATTAAATCAAGAAATGCTCCTCTCTTTGCCTCTTCCATTGTTTCTTATCTTCACTTTGTTTCTTCTCTTCAAGTGGCTGAATCGTTCTCAAAACCACCTCCCACCTTCACCGCCAAAACTTCCAATCATTGGAAATTTTCATCAACTAGGTTCTCTCCCTCACCGCTCCCTGAAATCATTAGCCGAAAAGCATGGTCCAATTATGCTACTACACTTTGGAATCAAACCAACACTTGTTGTCTCGTCTCCAGAAGCGGCCGAAACAGTCCTCAAAACACATGATCTCAATGTTTCAAACAGGCCTAGGCTAAGCTTCGCAAGACGACTTTCATACGACTGTAAAAGTGTAGGTTTCGCGCCTTAAGGCGAATATTGGAGGCAAATAAGAAGCATATGCGTTCTTCAACTTCTCAACAACAAGAGGGTTCAATCATTCAGAAAGATACGAGAAGAAGAAGTCGCGTTGATGCTGGATAGAATAAGAGAATATTGCTTGTCCGGCTCGCCTTTTGATGTTGGCGAGATATTCGCCAATCTCAATAACGATATCATCTCTAGGGTTGCAATGGGAAAGAAGTACTCAGGAGAGGAAAGTGGGAGAAATTTCAAGAAGATATTTCATGAATTTCTAGAGTTAATGGCAGCTTTTAATGTCGGTGATTACATCCCATGGCTTGGGTGGATTAATCACATCAATGGGTTGGAAGCAAAAGTGAATAGGGTTGCGAGTGAGTTGGATTCATATGTGGATAATATTGCTGAAGAAGGTATAAATAGGCGGAGGAAATTTGTGAGATTAAGTGATGGCGAAAAAGAAGACAAGACACGGGAGCAGGATTTCTTGGATGTTTTGCTGGAAATTCAGGAGCAAAGGGCATCAGGATTTGCTCTTCATCGTGATTCACTTAAAGCAATCCTTTTGGTAAGCAGGTTTTGATATTGATCTTCATTTAAAATGGCATAAACCGCTTTGGAAAACATCATTATTTCTTCTATCGTCGCACGGAAAAATAATCATGTCAATTTATTGCATTATTATAACAGATATTTTGCAAATAAACTTATTTAGAAACACAACGATGAGTACTACAAACTATATAGGGTAAATAAAACATGCAATTGTGGTTTCATCGTTTGGTATATATGCAACTTGATATGTTTTGCGTCATATATTTCGATTGGAGGTATTCTAGAAATCAACATCACCTAGATTCATTCAGAATTATGGATAAAACTGACTGCAAAGATGGTAAATCTATGACAATTAAGTTTCAAAGAAATAATGCAAGAACTGTAAGACTAAATTAGCACAAGATTTTCCGACGGTCACTCCAATTTAATACAAATCAAAACAATACTAACTCAAACAAAGTTAAACAGTTCTTTTCATAAAATATCCTTCGAAAGTAGACTTCAAAATATATTGGAAATGAAAAAGAAAAATTTAACAAAATATTTGTTAGGAAATATTAATTTAAAATCGGTGAGATATTTGCCAATCTCAATAACCAACCATGCATGCTTCTATCTTTTTGAGAAAAATTTTAAACCTCGTCAAATTTTCAAATCTTATTTACAGGATATGTTTATTGGCGGAACCGATACTGTTACCTCACTATTAGAGTGGGTCATTTCTGAGCTGATGAAAAACAAAAATGTTATGACCAAATTGACAAATGAGGTGCGAAGATTTGCCAACGGCAAGCAAAATTGCATTACAGAAGACGATATCGAAAAACTACCATATTTAACCGCAGTTATTAAAGAGACTTTACGTATGCATCCTCCGGCTCCAATGCTAGTTCCTCGAGAATCAAGAAATACCATCAAAATCATGGGGTATGAGATATTTGCTGGCACTCAAGTAATTATCAACGCTTTCGCGATCGGAAGAGACCCTTCGGTATGGGATAATGCTAATGAGTTTCAGCCTGAAAGGTTTTTGAACAATTCCATTGACAGTAAAGGTCAACATTTTCAGTTAATCCCGTTTGGATCTGGAAGGAGAAGTTGTCCTGGTTATGGATTCGCTTGGACGACTGTCAAAGTTACATTAGCAAATTATCAACGCTTAACTTCGATTTTGCATTGGCGGGTGGAGCAAGAACGGAGGATTTAGATATGAATGAAATCTTCAACATTGTAACCAGGAGAAAAATACCTCTTATCCTTATAGCGAGCCTATCGTCTTAGTGTGTTGAATGGAATTTGTTGCCAATCACGTTAAAATGCATGCTTGGGATTTAATAAAAAGTGGACTCATTGTGGATTGAAATAGCTTAGTTTTAATTGTTGGCTTATGCAATTATAGAACATAATATTAAGCTAAGAATTCTTCTCGTGGGAGTTTTCTGGCATGTATATGTTCGGCCAGTTTTTGACAAATCGGGCCGACGAGAGATATGATTCATGCCCAGGTGTTTTGGCGAATTTATATGATATCTAAAATAGCCTACAAGTGGTCAAAATACATTTGAGATCAATATAGGCTAGTTGAGTGTGGACAGTTTCAGAATTAGAGAAGGAAAGTAGAACCCAAATAACAATAAAATTGTTCCAGAATCGGCTGCGTGATTAATTGGCAATTAAGGCAAATTATCATTAATTAAGAAGATATGTTTGGAAAAGAATTATATAACAAAAATAAGAGCTGATTGTGAGAAAAAATCATCTATCGATTGGGAGACTGCTGTGGGAATAGTAACCTATTTCCAAGGAAATTGACTATGTTAAGCTACCATTCTCCAAGAAAGCATAGGGCAGCAAGGGTTTCGTCCAACCACTATAAATAGAGGTAGCTATGAAAAGAAAATCATCACCGATCAACCATACAACTGGTTTTCCTTGTCCTTAATTATTTCTTTTACCGTTTATCATTTTTTACTTTCCCTATGGTAGTTCATCACGTTCTATCATTCTTGTTTAACCCCTAACTTAGTAATAGAGTTGTTTGCATTTTTCTCCTACATAGAACTAGGTAGGTGTTAACCATTTTCTATTCCAACGAATTCGGTTATACTGTAACAGGTGTTCTAACACTTATGTATGTCGGACTACCCTCTGCACGTCCGTCTTGTCTTTGTCGTCTATGTAATAGCGTATCATTAGCACCATCTATAGCTTGTTAGCGCTAGGATTTTCCACCATTTGAGTCAAACGCCGTTTCTACGATTTTTCTTCACTTCCTCTAATTTCTACCTATCTTTATTAAATTAAAGCCAATAACCTTAAATTCTCGATCCTGGTCTGAGGCCGGTTCGAGCTCAACCACAATCATTTGATTTAATTGTGTTTTGGGGGATTCATGTTTCCCTTTTTCCTACGGTTTTGGGTGCACAATTTTCACGCAAACAGTATATGTGCCCTTTCAGTTTCTTGCATATCTGTCTACAGGTTCCGATCAATTAGTTCTCAGAATCTACCTAGCAACAATACCAAAGGCCAAGATTTCGACCATACTAACTTTTAAATCAATTGGTGTATAGCTTCGCAAACTTTTAAAAATTATAGTACTTTATGAATTTTTTTCCCATCATTTTGATTTAGAAAAAGATAGAGATTTAAGCTCACTCGTGGATATAGCTTGGAGTTCTCCTAAATTTCTACACGAGAGGGAAAAATCAAGAAATGGGTAGTTCTTTTCACCAATTTCACTAGAGTTTGACTAATACGTATACTTCTCATTCTTTTCGAAAAAATAATTCACTTTTTCTTCGACTAAAACAATATAACATAGTGTAATTTTTTTCGGATAAGGGAAGTAATTTTTTTGTTTATCACTAGCATGAAAAAGTCTTCATTGATTATTAAGTGATTAATCTCTTTCCCGAAAAAGTCTTTTTATAATTAGCATTGTTTCGAATGTGACTTCCGATTTCTTTCTTGGCAACACTTGGCATTGATTCGATTGTGACTTCCGATTTCTTTTCTTCCACTTCTTCCTCTTCTTGTCTGAAATCTTGCAATCATTGGTCCTACTATTTTCACCTGCAGAGAAATGATTGACAGGCTTCAAGCTCAGTCAAAAGCATGTGAAAGGGTGTCCCATTTATGCATCCATCGGTTTGATTCCATCAGGGGCGGCTCAAACTAAAAGTACTACGTAATTTGATCGGGTGTCAACCAAATTTTAATTTTATATTATAAATCATTAAATTTTTTTTTTAAAAAAAACTGGTGGATACTGTAGCTCCAGTTCTTCTTCAATCATGTAACACCAAGGTCATGAATGGTTGAATCAAAATGCAGTCATACCCTTTCACATGCATAAAGTTGATCTTCGCCAGAAATGGATGCAGAAATGGTGGACACCCTTTTGTGGATAAGTTTATTTAAGTCATCAGGAAGCAATTGAATCAATTGGTCACGGCATTTTCTCAAATATCTTCAAGCTACTCTGCGGAAATGTGTGGTTTTGGAGTTCTTCATCTGATATTTTATTAATTTGACAGTTCTGCGATTATAAATAAAACCATTTCATCGCAGTGGCAAATTGTGAATTATTGAACAAGCTTTCCCATACGGAAAAGTATATTGATTGAGCGTAAGAAGTTTCTTGATGTGTTAGGATCATCGAAATTATCATCGATGTTTCGTACAATTCCAGTTTCCACGCATCAATGACACACAATGGTAGTTATAGATTGGGGAAATCCTAAGAGTGGTGATATATACATGGAAAATTTGATAAGTAAATTTACAAAAAATAACGTGGTTGAATTTTAACAATTTTCTATCTTTAAATGGATATAAACTCTTAAAGCAAAAGATATAAGTATGAACCATAAAATTGTCTATCTTTAAATGGATATAAACTCTTAAAGCAAAAGGTATAAGTATAAATGTTTATGATTGATTTCTTGTTAAAATTACATATTAAATTTTACTGCACAAAATAATGATATGTATTTTGAATTGTATATGGATAGTATTCTTATTTCTTATTAAGAACAAAAAAATTTCAGAATCACTATTCACTACATCCTATCATTATCATCAAGTGTCCATGTGGACATATCTTCAGCATTGATCGATTTAGATATGCACGATCACGTCAAAGATGAAGTTGCAGTTGATAATGATTGAGTTAAATTTAATGATCAACACATGTGGGCTTGGCTAGTCAAATCGAACGCATTAAATCACACACATATATTCACACGGATGTAAATGTGTAAAAGAAAATCATCGTTTTAAAAAAAAAAACAAAAGAAAACTTAAATGCGATTAAAGTGACAATCCAAGGTGATTTAATGAATTTGCGTTGCAATCCTACTAGTAAAATTGTAATAGGGAAAATAATTTCATTTATGCAAAATGAATAAGCAAAAATATAATATTCATAAAAATAAATCGAGTTAAATGGAAGATTCCAAAAATAGCCACAAGTAAAAGTAAACGACAATTATTTAATTTTTTAAATTTGCTAGAAATCTACCATCTCTCCTTGGTTGATATAAGAAATTTGGCAAACTTGTTAAAATTCACTTTGAACTTGAAAATAAGTCAAAGACACTTGTCCCACATTGAAAATGGTAATCCAATTTGACCAACATATATATACTCCATACGCTATTCCTCTCATTACCAATTGGTTTTGAGGTGGAACCACATGTGAGTTTATATGAGCTTTTCAATATGGTGTCAAAGTGGGTTTTAATCCGCAAACTTTGTTGGTGGACTTTAACTGATTTGATAGTTTCTCCGATTTGACTTTACCCACATTGGATTTTGAATAACCTGACAGTATATCCGACCACTTTGATTGACACGTATACGGATTTACCTGTATTGGGCTCTAACTGTACGACAGTTTTTTTTTTTTTTTTTAGGTGAAACCAGGACAAAGCCTGGCGGGGAATGAAACCCGTTATATCAAATTATAAAAAACGATGAATGATAATACATAGTACAAATCATCTTATCCTAAGATATGGATTGTTTATCTAGAGCTAGTAAACCTCTCAAAGTAGAGGGTAGATCCCTAAACCTTTGGAATCGTTCCGATTGTCCTGAAGACGCCATATTTACTAAGTTATCCGCTACAACATTAGCTCCTCGATAAACATGAGTTATAGTATTGTTGAGACAGCTAAGGAGAAATTTAATCTCATGGAGATAGGAAAAGTAGCGCCAAGGGAGGTCATGATCATTTTGAAAGAGAGTTGCAAGAAAAAGGTTGTCTGTTTGAACCTCAACGTTTGAGAGCCCCACCATCCAACAATGACATAGTCCATATAGAAGTCCGCATATTTCTGCTTGAAGACAATTCCCTCGTCCAATGTAGCCGGTTTCTCCGAAGATAAAAGTCCCGTGATGATCTCTTAGAACGAATCCATATCCAGTTTCATTACCTTGGAGCTTTGTAGAACCATCCGTATTGAGGATTACACGGTGCGTTGACTGTTTTTTCCACTTGACAGATTTAATTGTCTTGCCTTTTAGATTAAGTTCCACATGGGGGAATCGTGAATATAGAAAGGACTTCTCTAAGGTGGTCTGCACTGGCGGTGAGTGAACAATTAAGAGATGCTTGAGATGATCCATAATAGCATTTTGAGTATGAACTTTAGAGGGCCGTTTGCCGTCGAAGAGGAAAGCATTTCGAGCTTTCCAAATCTACCAAAAAATGAAGATTGGTGCAGACAGTGACAGCACTTTTTTTTGCTGATTTGAAGCTTCCTTTAGACCACCAGAACTGGAGCGTATGCCATATTGTCGCGGATTGAGGCTGGGAGCATTCAAGGAGCTGCGCAAGGAAAGACCCAGATGCTTTTAGAGAAATGGCAAGTAACGAAGAGGTGATCTTTTGTTTCGGCATGGTTCGTGCATAAAGGGCAGATGGACAGATTAGCATAAATACCAAAAAAGAGGTCACAATATCAGAAAGCGGAATTAAACGATTGATCGATTTCAAGGAAAAAAAAGATAGACAGAGAGGTATATAACGATGCCAAAAGTTTTTAAGTACTCCCTGTTTAGGCTGCTTGACTCGAAGTGACTTACTGAAAGATACTCGATTGTAACGTATGCCGACTTAATTGTAAAGTTTCCAGTAGAAGTCGGCTGCCATATAATGCGATAATCTTCATCAGCGAAATCTTGATCCAAAGTCACCAAATGATTTAAGGATTCGGGAGACAGAATATCCCGAAAGGTAGTTAGCCACTCAAACTTATGATCGAAGAAATCCTTAATTGAGAGTGAGGGATACGGAGGTGGAGTTGAAAGATCCCATATAACGCCAATAGATGTCCAGTTATCATTTAAAAAACTGGAAGCTCCATTCTTAACTTGAATTTTGGAATGTCTTGCTGATTCAAGCTCAATCTTCGCGACACAACTCCAAGAAATTTTTTGCCTTGCTGAATCCGAAAGGAGAGAATGAAATTGGCCCATAATCTATTCTTCGTTTTGATTTTCCACCACATTTTGACCGAGAAGGCTTTCACAGTATCTCTGAATTTCCTCAGGCTGATGCCGTTTTCATCCACAGGGTAGGTAATACGATTCCAGGAGCGCCAGTGTTTTTTTCTTTCTTCAGAACCACTCCATAGGAATTTTTGGCAGCGCTGCTCGAGTTGATTGAGTATTGACATTGGCGGAGAGATTGCAGCGAACACATGAATCCGGACTGCAGATAAAACGTGCTTGATTAGAAGAAGTCTCCCTCCTGGGCACAAGAGTTTATTTTTCCAATTTTTGAGCTTAGCGTCGAAAGTGTCAAGAAGATGTTGGAAATGATCAATCCGTTTCCTGCCCTTGCTGATCTTGCAGCCAAGATATTAAAAAGGCATATAGTCTTGTTGCATGCATAGTACTCGCTTGATTAGGGCAATTCGCTGTGAAGGGCTTGAATCATCAACATAGAAATTGCATTTTTACCCTTTGATTTTTTGTCCGGAAGCCTTTTCGTAATTTGTGAAGAAAGAGTTTAGGGCAAGCAATGAAGACTTCAATCCTTTGGTGAAGATTAAGAGGTCATCCGCAAAACAAAGGTGTGAAATGCATTTTGATCCAGCAGGAGTACCACAGCCTTCAATCCAATTTTGTTGCATTAAAAATTTGAGTCTATGAGACATGGCTTTCGAGGTTAGAATAAAAAGGTACCGGGACAAAGGATCGCCTTGCTTTAAACCCCTAGTAGCTTGGAAGTAACCTGCAAGGCTTCCATTAACAAGAATCGAAAACTGACTATTAGTAAGGTTAGAAAAAATTAGGTTAATGAATTGCAAAGGAAAACCAAACCGTTTTAGTGTAGCTTTCAAAAAGTCCTAAGAAATACTATCAAAGGCCTTCATAATGTCCACTTTAAGGATGAGGTTGTTTCCAACAGCCTTGTGACCAAGAAATTGACTAAGATCCTGAGCCAATAAGATATTGTCATTAATGCCACGTCCAGCCAAAAAAGCCGATTGCTCCTCGGAGATTAATTTGGGGAGGACTGGTTTCTATCGCTCAGTTAATAACTTCGTAAAAATCTTGTTTACAAAGTTACATAAGCTAATCCGTCGCATGTCTGAGAAAGTCAAAATGGATTGCTTCTTCAGGATGAGGACCACCAAGTACTTCCAATAGAACGCGAAAGAGGAACACCAAGAAGAAATTCTATACATGCATTCAAAAGATCTTCCGCAATTATATCCCAAAAATGTGTATAGAACAACCATCCAAAACTATCAGGACCGGAGGCACTATCTTGACCATGGCTGAAAATGGCTGATTTAATTTCTTCCATGGAAATAGGCTGCAACAAAGTTGAGCAATTGTCATCTGTAAGTAAATTTGGAACATTTTGGAGAAAAAAATCCATTCCTTCGCTTTCTTGCTCCACTGTGAGGACGGATTTAAAGAGAGAAACAGCATGCTCTTCTATGTCAGTCCTTGATGTGAGCCGTCTTCCTTCTTCATTTTGAATTTTATGTAGCCCTAATCGAGCTTTTCGTTCTGTCAATGAAGCATGAAAATAGCTAGTGTTAGCATCTCCTTCTCGAAGCCACTTCAACTTCATCTTTTGATTCCAATAGTCTTCCTGTTCCTTGAGCTTTAAAAGAAGATGCGCTTTGGATTGATTAAGCTTCGATCTATCTTCTTTTGATTTGCTGAGATCATAATTAATTTCCAAAACTCTAACCTTATCTTCAACTTTTTTCAGGTTATCAAAAGCATTTCCAATGTTCTCCTTGTTCCAGGTTTTGACTCTTAATTTTGACCGTCTCAGCTTTAGAGAGAAACCAAGCATTCCTGATTGACTGAGAGGCATGTTCCAATTCTCTTCCACCACTTTAAGAAATTCAGGCCGCGGTAACCACATTTTCTGAAAACAAAAACTCTTTGGCCGAGTTTCTTCTGTGTTTCTGTATTGCAATAGAAGCAGGCAATGGTCTGAGGTCGTTCTGTTGAGATGTTCAACTGAGGCTACTGGGAATGTGTCAATCCATTCCTGAGAGAATAATATACGATCAAGCTTATTACTGAGCCACCCCTTACTTCGCGTGCCACCCCATGTAAAGTCTTCACCAGCAGTTGTCAATTCAAGCAGATTACAGGCCTCAATGCAGTCGTTAAACTCCTCAATAGCTATGTGATCTTGAACCGAAGAGCCTGAATATTCCTCCAAGTTTCTAATGACGTTGAAGTCTCCACCAATAACCCAAGGAGTGCCTAAATGTTGCTGTCGAAAATTGACAAGGTCTTCCCATAATGCTTGTCTTCCAATGCGGGTTGATTTCGCATATATAGCTGACATGATGAAAACGTGATCGTCGGAGATTTTTTTGACCTTAAAATGAAGAGATTGTTCAGAACCACCAAGCAGCTGAATGGCTAAAGCATTAGTAGAAAAAAACCAAATTTTACTAGAACAAGAAGAATAAGCATGAGCATAGCCCAATTCAACTCTAATCCTATCAATTTTGATAGCATCCAACATTGGTTCAAGCAAGACAATAATTGACGCTTTATATCTACGAATTAAAGATTTCAAGTGTCGTTGAGAAGCTTGATTTTTTATGCCACGAACATTCCAAAAAATATGACTATTCATTTTTTGTTTTTTGGGGGAGGGGAATAACAGAAAAGACAATTACTGAAATCTTAAAGACCTGCGAGGCTCTAAGCCTGTTTGCAACTGAGTACGTTCCACATTCATTTTTCGGCCACGCTTGTTTTTAACCACGGTAAATCCATTGGTTTCTTGTATTTTTACATCATCCTTCTCACCGTCTGACCATGTGATGCGTGGGTCATCAGAATCATCAGGTTCGGAACTTCGACGGCCAATCAATAAATCATCAACAGCTGCTGCGACCGAGAACGTGGCAGAGATCATTGTGTTCGGAGATGTAGGGGGTAAATCTTGCCCTGTAGTATCTGTAGTCTGAAGAGCAAGAACACCAAAAGAGGAAGGTAAATTGGGAATCGAAAATTGAATATCTGATTGAGGTAAAACAGTGCTTGCTCTTCTGACGCATCTGAAGTTTGTGGAAAATCTTGAGTGTCTTGTTCCAAATTGGATGAGATGGGACAATCTTTCTATGAGTCAGTTACTTCTGATGGCTCTGAATTCAGACCCTTTTTATCAGTTTGAGTAGTTTCCTGCTCTTTCAAAGGCAAAACACCATCAACAGCAATCAGGACTGCCTGCTTCTCCTCTTCTGATAATCTTGACTTTGAGGCTTCATCCGTTCTTGATCGTTTGGATTTCCACTTGGGAACTGGCGTTGTTATTTTGAATTGAACCTTGTTCGATCTTGTTTGAGCCTGTTTTTCCTGCACAACAGTAGAGGCCAAAGCAGTACCATCCTGATTTTGAATTCCATCATTATCTTGATTCAAATTTAAAGCTTTACCTTTTCTGCAATCAGCATCTTTGTGACCTATTTTGCAATATTTAGCACAATATGATGGAACATATTCGTAATTAAAAAATTGATCATATTTTTTACCTTTCCGACCTATCTTGATTGATTTAGGTCTGTCTTTGGGCAGATCAAGTTCCACACAAAACCTCACGACAGATGGCCACGATAAATTGAGGGTGGGAGCATCAATCTGAAGGTGCTTACCGATTGCAGTGGCGATCGAATACAATACTTTCAGATGTGTCCACTCCAACGGCAGTTCATGTAGAGATACCCAGACAGGTACAATCGGTGGATCTTCTTCAAATTTAAAACCCGGGCACCATTTTAAAATACACATTTGATATCCTCCGATGTTCCAAAGAGACGAGATCCAACAACGCTGATAATCTTCTTCTAATTCAAATCGGATTGAGATGTGGCATGGATTCATTAATCCAAGAGAGTAAGAGCCTTTGAATCCGATCTTCCTGAATTCCTCTCAGACATCCTCCATTTTTGGGCGGCCGTACGAGAATTTTCCAACCAACGTCATCTTATTATGAGGTGCGATCAAGGCTTCAAATTCATCATCATCGTATTTAAGTTCTGGCTGACCGTTGAAGAAACTAACATTTTTGAAATCCAAAAATTGTTGTTGAACACTTGTATTGATCGTCGCTGAAGGGATCGCCGCATTCGATTGATTGAAAAGGCTAGCAAAGGTACGAGTTTGGGTGTTGACGGCCATGGCGGCCAGCTAGAGATAATTGTTGAGGCTAGGGTTTTTTAGAGAGAAGGACAAGAGAGATTTTAGAGAGAGACTAAATCCGTCAGATTACTACTGTCCGACAGTTTATCTAAGGACTTTGATTTACCAGTATTAGGTTTTGATATATTTCCCGTATTGGGCTTTAATGGTTCAAAGGGGCTTTGTTCAGCCTTTTCGAACTTGAGAGGGGGTGTTAAACTTCCCTTTGAACTTGAAATTAAGTGAAAGAAACTTGTACCACATTATAAATGGACCAATTGGTTTTGAGGTCGAACTACATGTGGGCTTATATGGACCATTAAGAACACTGCATGCGATATGATATAATGTGGATGAATTCTGATTTAGCATATGAAACTATTTTATGTGCTACTGATAGGTGTCAAATTATACATGTTCTAGCAAACAATTTTCACTTTTTTTTAACTTGTAAATTAGTCAAAATTAAGTAGGATTAGTTTATTTCTTATTTAGTTTTGCATTTCTAGGTGATTAGAGGACCAAGGTGGTAACCGGTGAAAAAATGGGCCAAAAAGCAAAAAAGTAATAGAAACCAAGGGCTAAAGGTGAAAATGTTGGAGCTGTTATGCTGCTGCTGCTGATGATTGCATAGAAAAGGGGAAGAAGTGCTAGAATGGAGGCTGGAGCCGAAAAGTGCTAGAGCTGGTGAGGAAGGAAGAATGTGATAATTTGATATGGCTGATTTTGAGGCAAAAAGCAGCCCCAAAAACGTCATTAAGAGACATGAAGGACATGGAGGTATGGCCTCAAAAATTTAATCAAGTACTAAGGTCAAAAAGTAAATCTTGACTCCTTGATTTAGTGAAGACTAAAAGTGTAAAAAGCGTCATCATCCAAGTTCTATAAAAGAAGATAATTAGCTTCAGAAAAGGATCATCACAAATCAAAGAGAAAGATCTGAATTAGCTCGAGAAATAGTGAAACAGAGTTGCTGCAGAGGAAGAGATGAAACTGTCACTTGGGGAAGCGACGAACAAACTTCCTAGAGTCATTAGACAGAACCTGCACTCACTAAGTTCTTCTTTTTTCTGTTGCTAATATTCAATCTTGTATACATGTTGGATGTGTAATATTTCATTGTTTTTGTATCTAAGGTTTTTAAGTATGTGTAGCCAAACTCTCAATTAGGGTCCAATCCCTACTCTCTATATATGAAATGTTTTGGTAATGCTCCTATATGACTTAATGTTTCTAGTTTAAGTGTTTGAATCAATCTTTAGGTTAAAGTGGCCACTTAGCTAACTGTGTATGCATATTATGGAATCATGAGAAGGTGAATTTAGTTTAGATTTGCTTAAATTAGTCCATGAGCGGGGAGATAACAACCTCTGGTTCTGAACAACAAGGAAACTTAGTTGTTTGACATGGGTGGTCATATAAGGTTGAGATACTTAATGGCTTAGTATAATCCAGAATCAACATACATATATAGTTGGTTTGTTTATACTAAGAAACCTTCTAGATATCGAGAGTGACCTTAAGATATATCAGTGACCTTAAGAGAGGAAGGAGGATGATCCTAGGTCCTCATCACTCTGTCAAGTCACAAACTCACTCGAGAAAGTCATCATTTGTCATATTAGTTCATTGTTTCACACTTTTATCATATTCTATAGATATTCATTCGCCTCTATGGGATCGACCATTCTTACTGCTTGCTACAAGTATTAAGTAGATTAATATTTTGGTCGTCTCGACAACCATCAGCCAACATATCGCCAACTTGAGGAATTCAATAGAACGAGTGTGTTGACATCAAGTTTCGGATCTCTAAAAGAATCGGTCTACATACTCAAACAATTAGATTCCCGAAACCGTTAGAATAGGCACAAGAGAATCGCCAAATACTTGAACCTTCCTTAGCTAAAGTTAAGTCGTGAGAAGTAATGCTGACTGGAGTGCTAAAGATATTGAGATTACTTGTTTGATTACTGTTTATTGTATTAAAAGATAAGGATGTAATCATTTCCCTATTTATCATATTGATGTAATCGTCTATTTATGACTAACTCTTGCATCATTGTCAACATAATAACCACATTTCCCGTATCACTTTAAAAAAAATCTGCTAACTCAGGATCACAACTACTTTTAAAATTGGAAGCTCGAGCGAAGTGAAAATTTTTCCCTTCATGACAAATATAAGCACAATCTCCCATGCAATTCATTTTGTTTGAAGTAGCTCCATCGAAAAAAATATCTTATGGCCACAATGCATTGGGGACAATCAAATAGTTTTCAGATAGTGCGAGTGACAAGGTACCTGATCTCCTCTTGGTGTTAAAATCCCCTTTAAATTTGAAAAACAAGTGAAAGATACTTGTCCCACATTGGAAATGGTAACCCAACTTGACCAACATATATACGTCATGTACTATTCCCTTCATTGCCAATTGATTCTGAGGTGGAACCACACGTGGGCTTATATGGGCCTTTAAGATGGTATCAGAGATGGTTTTAGTTCACGAACTTTGTGGATGGACTTTGACCTATTTGGTGGTTTCTCTGGTTTGACTGACTCGTATTTAGCCATTGACTTAAACCTGTATTGGGTTTTTTACTAACCCGAAAGTATATTCGAGAACTTTGATTTACCTGTATTGGGCACTACCCGTATTAGGCTTTGATTGACTTGGCAGTATATTCAAGGACTTTGATTTAACCATATTGGGCTTTAATTGTTAAAAGAGGCTTTGTCCAACCCCTTTGGGCTTCAAAGGCTGGTGTTAAGTCCAATTTGAACTTGAAAAATAAGTGAAAGACACTTGTCCCACATTGAAAATAGTAACCGAACTTGACCAACATTTATACCCCATGTGCTATTCCCCTCATTTCCAATTGATTTAGAGGCGGAACCACATGTGGCCATATATGGGCCTTCAAGACTTGGTGATGTGGACATCCAAGGTGATCAAGCTCAAGGGCAAGTCAATATTCAACCAAGAAATCAAGTTCAAGCTCAAATAGTAATTCAAGATCCATTAGCTAATATTGGAGGTCCTATGACGAGGTCTCGAAGAAAGAGAATGAATGAATCCCTCAATAATTTGTTCATAGGTGTTCAAGCTCTCAATTTGGATTCAATTCAATGGGTTTCATGTTTATCTTGCAGTGGAATTGAAACTTTTAGTCCACGTCAAGAAGGCAACAAGAATACGTCGAGTAGAATTGATGTCGACAAGGAAGTCGACGGCACGCACAGATTTTTCCAACTTTCCTAATTCGGTTAGGAAAATGATTTTTTCGTAATTTTAATATTATGGCCGACCCTCCAAGCCTTCTATAATATTCTAGTTGGTTTTAAATAATTATAACATGTGCAATTATTTATTTAAATATTATTTAAGTCTATATCAGGAAACTTAGGTAGTCAAATCCGATTTGGACTTGTATTCGGATTTCTTTTGCTCCAAGCCACGTGTGGAGCCTTGTTAGCCATTCATTGGAGCCTTTTAGCTTGCCGTTCTACCCGTAAGTCAAAGGGGTGAGGTTGTTAGAGATCTATTCTAATCGGGTTGCTAGCCAAAAACACATTCTTTTGTCTTCTTGTCTTTACATCCTTTTTGGTGCAAATTTTTGTGGTTTGCATCATTCTTTCTCCTTTCTACACTTTTTGGAGTCTTCTCCATTGTTTTGGCAAGTTATCAAGTCTTGAGAAAGAAAAGTTTTTGCGTTTGAGGTAATTGCATCATCTTTCCTCAAGATTCGTATCACTTGGCCTACTGAAATTCAACAAAAAGTTGTCCACGCTGAGCTATTAATCCATTGGGGTTGATGACTTTGTTTTCAAAAAAAACTTTACAGTTCGAGCATACTAAATAGAAATAATTACACATGCAACAAAAATTTTCAAAAAGTTTTTGATGACATGGCATAATAATATCTCTCACCCATTAATCATGTTAATAATCTCCTATACGATAATTCTACAACACGTCTTAACCCACTATATATTATTTTCACATTTTTTTTGAATATTTACTTTTTTTTTTTCTAACAATCACCCTAACCCGCCATTAGATGAACCTGTATGGGCCATGTGTCAAACTCCCGATGAATGATGTAGGAAGTGAAGTATGATTATGGTGTCAGAGATCTTTTTGTTTCTTAGTCAAATCTCACTTCCTGAAATGGTTTAAAGTTGGCAATGGGACTTGGTTTATCCGGTTTTATACTACGAACGGGTATCGTGACAATCACTGGCCTTGCAACACAGTCCCAGAAACATCCTTCTACTCTTCAAGAATTAGAAGAGGATCTTGTTATTTTAAAGAATAGTTTTACTTATGAATATTTAAGAAGGTAGATAGAGCTGTTGTTGAAAATGCGCATAGACTAGCTAGGTCAAGTTTGCTGTCATGTACTCTGTCCAAAAAAATAGACTAATTGTAGAAAGCAACTAATGCACTTTTCACTAAGTTCTCTCTCTCTAAACAGAGCAATCTGACACCCCTCCAGAATAATAAAGTAAATCAGACTAAACAACAAAACACTCCCTGTCCTAATGAACTCGGAGATGGTCAACTCCGTCCAACAAGAGCCTATTGAAGATAATCCAGCTACAAAAAAAAAGTGAAAAATAGGGAGGAAATTCCAAATCAGAGGATAGCAACAAGCCTCCAAGAAAGAAAAAAATCAAGGTCAGTGAAGAAGAGGTGATCTATGGAATCGAGAACGGAATTGGTTCGGTAACATTCCTGGACAAAGTGCAAATACAAATGAAAGAGGTTAAGGGTTTTTCGGTTGTTGTCAGGCCCTTGGGAAATGCAATATCTTACGGTGCCCTCAATCATAGACTCGAGATAGCCTGGCAACCAAAGGGAGAAATTGAATTGGCGGATACAGTCAATGGTCACTGGATAATCCAATTGTACAACGAGGACGACTACAATAATGCTATTCTCAATGGACCTTGAATGATTGGCTCAACCTATATGAGAGTGTATCCATGGACATCC